AGAAAATCTGATCAGAATGAAATAATCAAACTAAATATCCACTCGAAAAAAAATCCAATATCTGCAGACGGATCCGTTTCGGACTTACAGGCCTCATCAGTGCAGCTAGGGTACAGATCAAGTCGGCGGGTTGTGGACAAGATCAGAGATCTAAAGATACAAACTTTACAGTGCAAAAATGACGGCCCACCATTTACAATTTATTGTAAAAATTTCTGTTTAAATTTTAAATTGATTTGCATTATGTGGCCATTTGTTACATACCTAATGGACCTACGATAGTAGGAACACTATGAACGTACTTGGGGTTCCGCATTGGATGGTTGTCCGTTAGGTTGAAGAAGTCAAAACCTTTCAAATGGCGACTGAAAATTATAAAGAAAATACTGGTTATCAACACCCTGGGGCGGACTGGAATTCATGTAGTAATACTGCATGGCCGTAGGCAGGTCGCACTCCCCCCACCCCCCACTCATACCCTTCTGGCAGTTAATTACTTCCATTAAGCGGGTTAAAATACTAAAAATGACCATTAAGTTTTCATTATAATAATGATTTAGTTCCACATTCTCATTTTTAACACCACATTCTCATTTTTAACACCCCTCCCCCCCACCCTGGCAAAAACCAGTCTGTGCACTCGAACTGTCACATACTCCTGCTTCTCTTTATTCCATGCGTGTGTAGTAACTTATTCCAAGCTGAATTTTGTTATGAGTTTATTGTAAATAAAGTCAACACAAAAAACAAGATTGCAACTTTGTATTGCAAATAACACAATTCTATTCATACGAAGCAATAAAGGTGTTAAGTCAATAATTTCTTCCTATACACCTACAGTAGATAATACATGTAATTTTCTCTCCGAATTTCTCCATCCGTAATAATGTTGATCCCTAGGCCGACTTGTTCTCTCAAAACTTCATCCTCAGCTTTGTCAATAAGCTCATTCATTCCTAGATATTAATGAAAAAAAAACCCAATTATTTTGATAAACTTCAATCACAACAAATAATTAATACCATTTTTTTTTACAAATTTATCTTATTTTTACCTTACTATTATTTTATCACCATCATCCTACTGTTGACTTCATTTTATTATGTTTATTATGCATTTATTATTTTTATCTCCATGTGTGCGTGTATGTGTGCCTGCGTGTGCATGTTTTTCTATTTTACCGAGGACCTCAACTTGACAACACACTCATGACCTGACGATCTTTTGCTTTACAGATGACCAAAAACTTGGTCCTCGGAGCACTAGTGCTGCATTGTGCTGGATTTGCGTGTACAACGCGTTTTCAGAGTTTCTGTAAAGGTCCTCGGCTGGTGGAAAAATTTGAAAATGTGTCACAAGGCGTTACATACTTTTATTTCAGTGGCGTTGCACAAATAAACAGCGCCCTCTATGCATAAAACGTTGAGCACGTGTGTGGCGGTGTCCATGGTAGAAACCAGAGCATATTTTATGGATCTCGGCATACTTTGCTGGTCCTTGGTCAGTCTTAGTCAGGGTCCTCTGGACATAACATTTACAGGTAGGTTGTGTATGTTCAAAATATCTATAAAATAGCTGTACAGATCTAAATGAAATTTACAGGGAGTGACCCAAGGACGAGATGATTAAATTTTTGTAATGATCCTATTCGGGGTGTGGATACAACAGCTGTATGATGAATATTCAAATTAGTGGAATTACAGTAAATGTTTTACAGTGTTTTATATGTACTAACTTCACTTTTTTGGGAACTGGGAATATTTTTAATGTATCTCTATATTTAAACATTTGATGGTAAACACCAATACACTTCTTTCTTATTAATTTGACTATTTGCATAATATTTTCATTTCAACACCAATACTCGGCGTGTACTTTTTTGTCAAGTATATGACTAAAATGTTCCTGGGTGTATTAATGTTTGGCCGGGTTAGTGTGATTTTCTTTTTCAATTAGGTGGTGATTGGAAAGTCGAAACATATTTTTTGGGGGTTTCTTTTGGGGTCAGGGTCAGAAGTTTTGTTAATTTTTTTAAAGTAGCGGAGCTAAGTAGGTAGGGTGGTGGTTAGAAAATTAACTAAAACATATTTTGGGAGATTTATTTTACTTTATAGAAAGGGATTTGCGGTGGGGCGGAGATATGCTCTCAACTGAGGGCTCTTGTTAATAGTGTTGAAAATTAGTTGGATTCGTCGTACGATGGTTGTACAGCAAGGTTGTACGGTGTAGTGAGTGCCCGGCTTTACATAGAGCTACTTGTGTTTATGTCGCGAAGGGATATAATGCCACTTAGAAAAGTGATTAGGTTCACGGTTTGGCATACCATTAGCCTTCGGATTAAACCAATTAATAAGAAAATTATTATTATTGTTTGAAGATTTACATGGCGAATTAACAATATATTAATAATAATAAGTCAATTCTTATATAGCGCATTCTGTAAAAAGCCTTAGTGCGCTTTACAACAAAGAACCACAAGCAGACAACTTAAACTCAAATCAGTTCTGAAATGTATGAGGGCTATAATTGGCATAGGTGTCTAGAACTGGGCTCCACCCACCGATGTCAAAACAACGTCGCTGTCACACCCGGGTGCATGCAGGCACACTGTTAGGCAGTATGCTGGGCTCCAGTAGCTTCCACATTCGAATAAGTCCTCGGCTCTACTACTACTAAAACGATGTTGTCTTGAGTAAGGAAAAGGTTGGGGCCCACCTCAAACGATAGCACATCCAACAGTTGTAACACCTTTCCAGATGAAAAAATGGGGAATTCTGCATTGTTAAAAAGGAATGTTTTAAGAAGGGTTTTAAATGACTCAATAGAATCAGCCGATTTGATATGTTGAGGAAGACCATTTCAAAATTTTGGGGCAGTTGTAGCAAAAGAGCGAGCGCCAACTTATCCTCACCTTCGTAAATTCAAGATTAATCTGTGAAGATGATGTAAGGTGTTGTGCAGGTACATGAGTGGAGACGAGCTCTGATAAATACGATGGATAAAGATTGTGAATAGACTTGTATGTAGCGATGCGTTGATTTATGGTTAGCCAGTTTGATTTATGAAAGACCAGCAAAATGTGTACAGTATTATGGCTTGGACCATGGAGACAAGTCATGCAGCGGTATTTTGTACATGTTGCAATTTTAAAATGTGCGATTTAGTAGGGTTGGAAAGTAGACTATTCATTTTGGATGTATAATTCTTGCGGTACAGCACACAAGGTGTACCGCAAGCATTATCACTATTATTGCTATTTACCTTTTTCAGCTATCATTGCACTATAATCTTTAGTAACTCTTTTTACACTGTTGTCTTTAAACCAATCAGTAAGCTTCATGTATGCCGGTTTAGGATAGCTCCCAATCACTGTTGTTTGAAGGCAAATGTTGGCTGCCATTACTCTTGTGTGTCTATGATAATTGCAAGATAAAATATGACAAGTAATTGTCACCTATTCAAACAATATTTTAATACTATTAAATATATAACCCTGGAGTAACTTTTGTCATTGTACTGTATGCCTAACTTTTCATCGCAACAAAAAAAAAACTGTCAAAGCCTAAGAAGGATTGAAACATAAATGGCTGAATACATTACAAAGATGCATTTTTTTTATAAAAATTGTTTTTCCATTTACCAGTCTCTTTACCAAAAATATATAAATATATAAAATAGTAAGTAGCAATAGTAAGTAATAGTAAGTAAATATTATAACACACCTAAATAGATCCTTGTCATTTGAATGGTGGATTTCATATCATGTGACATTGGTTATTTACCCCATATGTTGTCACTCATCATAGAAATTTAGTTCTACAGTACATTTTTTTTCTACTTCCATCCCGTTTCGCTCCATTGCAGGGTGCCTAGGATACAATATGACTTCAACCTAATCTGTTGATTGGTTAAGAAGATGCTAGACTGTTCCATTAAGAAAATTTTGTTCATCAAAAATATCAAATGACAAAAATCTTCAGAAAAAGTTTTTTTTTTTATAAAATATCAAATGACAAGTTTAAGACAGGCTATTTTCACGACTGTTCCATTCAAATCGGTTCAATCTCGTTGAATGGAAGTCTATCTTTATTGTTATTATTATTATTATTACTTTTAATTCACTATTATTTCTATTCTTTTTACTATTTTCATGCTATATTATATATATATATATATATTATTATATATATTATTATATATAAACGAAAATATATTGTTTTGCTTTTATTGATTGGTTTTACTAACCATTTCCATTTATTTTAACTATATTTCTATTGATTATTGATTGTACTTTATATATTGTTATACTGAATTGATTAATGATTGATTTGTTATATTGTTATACTGATTGATTGATTAGATTTGATTGAATAAATGTTGTTGAAATTGAAATCTTTCAACTCATGACAACATTCTTCCCATTGGACTCATAAACATTCATTATTTGTATTCTGTCACAAAAAAGTATTTCAAATCCCAGGTGTGAAACTAAGAATTCATTTTGGCCTAAGACTTTAGTAATTTATTCTTCATTTCCACAGGCCTACACATGATTCAAAAGATAGTGAAGACAAAATAAAACTTTTGTTACTTCAGACTTTGAATTTTCTCAACAGCTTGTTCGGAAATTTACCAAAAATATATGGCCCAATAAAAACAAATATTAGTTTATCACCCTTGCCTGCATGTCTTCTATGGTACTGACAAAAAAAATTTTGGGGAACTATTTTTTCTTTTTGAGAAAATCATTTAGTTTACTTTGCATATCAATAGACCAGCAAAAAACCCAAGAATGACATTTGGCTTTTAAAAGCAAAGTAAAAATAAAAAGCCTCCCACCCTCACAGGCACCCTCACCACCTTTCCAGCCTAGATAGTGTGATTTATAACTAAATTATACTCTTTTTATTGAGCCTAAGCAATGTACTAATCTGGTTTTTATTATGATCTGGTTTTGGTTTAAGTATGATTTGTACATCGATAAATAAAGTTGTATTTGTACTGCAATTTCATCTGGCCGCGCCTTTTACTATAATACCTCATACATATTCATCAAACAACTCAACCATGAAGTCCTACCAACAGTTACTGGTGCTGGTATCAAGCCCCACTGTACTTAAACAGCCAAACATGTGATCCTGATCATGTTTCTTGTTACACTAACTCCCTGATTTCATACAACACTTAACATCTTAACTTCTCATCAGTGAACAACAGTAATTGGCAGACAAGATATCAATAATCTTTACAAGTTTAAGACAGGCTTTTATATTATATTATAATAATCCGACCGTAAATAAACTTGCAACAATCGTGAAAGCCAAGGGATAGAACTCTCTCTGGGAAATCACAGGTCTCGCCCAAAGCAAAGTCCACACTCCAACTATCCTGGCTTTAAACATGTCATTTGTTTAACAACCTTTTATTATACTCAACCCACGCGTTAGTATCTCCAAAATATATAATGTGAACTACCTCCTATACTTTATTCATTTATGCCTATGTAATCTCAAAACGGCTACAGCAAAGAACCTGCACTCACCCGGGCTGCACTCTCGCTAGGAAGAGGAGTGGGTAGGCCTAAAAATAGAAAACACTTAACCTAGAAAACAGGTGGCGCTATTCAGAAAACTCATCTCATCTAGAGTTCCTATAGAGAAAGCTCATCTATCGACACAGGCGGTAGCACCGTATAGTAGGTATAAGCAGTATTGAAGAGATGTATAAAACATGTGTTGAGAATGGTGTTACTACTTCCATATTGACATTAGTTTCTAATTCAAACGGGATTAAGTAAACAGATAAAAAATACAGATTAAGAAGACAGAAGTTTATTTATTTCATAGATTGTAAATATACAAGATATAAGATTAAATCTCTTATAAAAGAAATTACAAAGCTCGCAAGGAAAAAGTTGGGGAAAAAGTGTACAATCCAAGCAAACCACATTAAAAAATTGATCGAAAAAAGTATTTACAACAAATTTCAATAAATCTATAGACCACAGGTGGACAAAGTGCGGCCCGACAGCGATTAAAAAAAAAATTAAAAACCCTGTGCGGCCCGGCCCGCCAAGCAAAATCGGCTAGAAAACACCTTGTTTTTTACGGCCCGACACCCATCATATGTCAAAATTAACATTAAAACTGAGAATAAAGTGGTGTAAAGCTCACTATAAACATCAAAGTTTGGGTGCGGCCTTCGGTGTTAAATCAAAAATTCACTTTGGCCCTCACTTTGGCCGATTTTTATTTTCAAAATATCATTTTAAATTATAAGGCCTACAAAATTTAAATAATTTGATAGTTCTTACTTAAAGTTGAGTAAAGTGACAATCAAAACTTATTTTAGCTTCTTATTCATATTGAATTAAAGGTAAGTAATCCCCCCAAATTACTTACAAAGTTTCTATCATAACTGGAAGGAACAGTTGCGTAGGCCTATTCATTTTAGTTTATCAGAGGCGAGGCTGGTTCCAACCACGGGGTAGGGCTGCGAAAATTGTAACAGTCTGTAATATTCCTATAAAAATTAAATGGTCATTTTAATTTTTACAAACACTTTGGAACCACGGAGGAATGTTTAATGTCAAATGTGATATTTTACATTTTAGATATCCAAAAATAAATTTGGATATTATTATTTTTTGGTGGGTGGTGGGGGGTGCTACCCCGTTGCTCCCATGCATCCTCCCCTGTTTACCCACAAGTTGAGAAGCCAAACACTGGCTCTAAACTTCTTTTTCTCTCCTGTTTTGCTTGAGTAAGACTGTTAAAGTTTAAGTTACTTTAGAGAAGGGTCTTCGGTCGGGGAGGGGGGACAAAAGTAATAATTTTCCCGCTTAGTAATTTATCATACCCACCCCACCCCCCACCCCCTCACCATATAGAAAACAATACGACAGGGCTCATCTTATTTATAATATAGGTCACACATGTGTGTTTGAAACTAAATATAAGCATTTTCATCATGGTTTTATTTATTACAAACATATTATTTTTTCACCATCAATACACATTGAGGCCTTCTTTTAGGTAAAACGATCTATCTTAAAATGTTCTTTCTATTTGAGTTGGGACTATTATGTGTTCAATTCACTTAGAAGGCAGAGGAGGACAAGCACAAGTTCTCACCCTCAAAAATGCGTGCGAAGCGCTCAATTTTTTTTTTAGTTTAGGGCTTATGTTATATATGGCCACACACGTTTTTCACAACTGAATATAAGCATTTTCATTATGGCTTTATTTATTACAAACATATTCTTTCACCATTATTACACATTGAGGCCCTTCTTTTAGGATAAACGATCTATCTTTCTTTCTTGAGTTTGGGACTATTATGTGTTTAAATAACTTCGAAGGCTTCCTTTTTATTCTTGTCTTCATTTTCCTCTTCTCTTTTTCTTTTCCTTTTTCCTTTCCTTTTCCCCTTCTTTCTCTTTCCCTCCCTCTCCCCTCTTTCTTTTCTCTTATTACCCAGCCCGGTACGACGGCTTGGTCAGCCCGGTAAAAACCGTTAGGTGGGAGGGGTGGGGGCAGTCTTCCCCCTGCCACTGACCGTTCCAAACCCCAATTCTCGAGCCAATCACCCTCTTATAAACCAAACCAGCTCCTTCCCTTACATCGAATAGCATTAACATGATGATGAAATTTACATGTATAATGCTAGAAGCCTCAGCTACGCGAGCCTTCGCGCCCTGATCTCCACAAAAGATGTTGCCATGAAACCCAACAGGGCATCGAAGTGTCCATGAACCCTTTGCTCTCATAGGAATCCTCCTTGCCCAGTTCAACTTTTTCGAAATTTTACAAATCAGGCATAGTAACCCTAAATAAATTTAAAAAAAAAAAACAAAAAAAAAAAAACGGGTGTCGTACTTAAGTTCGATTTTAAATAGTTTTTACACTGTTCTAGTACTCTTAAATTAAGTATATGCAAAGAATTCGATCCATCTCGGCCACAAGTCAACTCGGCCACAAGTCATTTACTGGTACTACATTGTACTAATTGTTATTATTATTGCTGTTATTATTGTTGTCATTGTTGTTATTATTATTGTTGTTTTTATTACCGTTAGTTTTAATATTAATTATTAGTCTTAGCATTAACATTATATATTGTTCAAATTTTTGCTGATAGTATTATTATTACAGTACCATATAAATAATAAATAATTTTCGATTTTTTATTTTTATTATTCATATTATTATTATTATTATTTATTAGTCTTAGTATTATAATTTTAATAATAGTAAATTTAAAAAGTTGTTATTGGCGTTTTATTAGTATTTTTCTCATATTATTATTATTAATATTATTGTTGTTGTTATCACCTTTATTATCGATATTATTACCCTATTATTACTAAGTAGGCCTAGTATTATAAGTATCATTATTATTGTTATTACTAATTAGTATTATTATTATTATAAAAATAAAACATTATCTTTAATTTATTATTGTTGTATTATTGCTATTATCACCTTCAATATCGTTATATTAGTTATTAAAATTGATATTACTATACTAGTATTATTACTATTTTGTTAAAATAAATATTACTATTAATGTTGTTGTTATTATCACATTTATTATCGTCATACTGACTAATTAGTATTATTAATGTAAATATTACTAATTTATTGTCGTTATTGTTGTTTAATATTATTGTTGAAGTAGAATGTTGTGAGTAAACAGAAGACGAACACATTAATAAATAACTCTTTTTAATTCATAGGCAATAGCATTCAAATCTCTTTTGGTAGTGTGGTGGTAAAACATACTGTGTACTTTATTTCAATCATATATTGAAGAAAAAGGATGCAAAGACTTAGATTTACATTAAATAACTTGTGGCCGAGTTGACTTGTGGCCGAGTTGGCTGTAGCAGAACTTTTTGTGGCCGAGTTGATTTGTGGCCGAGTTGACTTGTGGCCGTGTTGACTTGTGGCCGAGTTGACTGTGGCCGAGTTGACTTATGGCCGAGTTGACCTGCACCCTCAAATACAGTACACCAACATTCTTCCCTACTTCTCTACCATGTTAAACAGGACTTGAGTTTTAAATTCTCCAGGTGAATGTGTGACGCATGTGTCCAGATACTTATCCCCCATGCAGAGGTACGCATTTTTCACATTTGTCGATCGGTACAAGGTGAGGCCATCGTCGTCTTGCTCTTTAAAAAACAGACGATCATCGTTGTTGGAGCTTTTCGCAGACTCTGGCTTAACTCGTTCCTGACACTGCGTAGAGACAAAAAGGCAGTATATTCGTTATAAAAATATTTCTCTTGCCTTACGGTTTGGTGCGGCGACAGGGGCGGCGCTAGCGGGGCGGGACCTCGGAACCTGGACCCCACTAACGGGGAATTTCCAGCAAGTTCGTCGGGGGAAAATCAAATCTCGGGCGCCGTAATAATCTATTTTAAATAAATAATCCCATAATTAACGCATTTCAGGGGCGGATTTAGGGGGGAGGGGCCGGCCCGGCCCCCGCCGCCTTTTGGACATCTCTGGATCCGCCCCTGCATTTTATTATCTTTCAATAGGTCGAGTCGGACCTTTAAATGAGCAGACACCATGTAAAAATTATGATGATGATGGTTGTGCTGGTGATGATTATGATAATAATAATAATAATAATTAATAGGTTGTGCTGTTATCTTACCGAATCTAAATATAAAACCGGATCGTTTGAACCTTTGTCGACTTTGCAACATAAATATAGAAATTCAGGGTAGTGGAACCTGATCATCACAGCAATCGAAGCCTTTCCACCACACGATGAGCCATGAAGAAACATGTACTCGCTGACCAGTACTGTTATTATATAAGAGAAAATTAGTTGGTTAATAAGTTGAATGTTCATAGTATATTTCTATTCTTACCGTAGCTTAACCGTCATAGCAACTTTATTCCACAAATAGCAACTTTATTCCACAAATGAAGCTGTTGTGATGACAGTGGCGCATCTGGGAGTCTTGAAATTTCGAAATTGGGGGATAGTGGTTGGGGTGGGCTCGAAGGTAGTGTGGGGACGCTGGATGATTTAAAGTCAGACTCCGGTGGAAAAAAAATGTTGATATGTTGTAGAACTGATTTTTCTAAGACACAAAAAAATAGTTTGATCGAAAGCTGAGCAACGGTGAATGAGATACAGATTTTTTAATATTTAAAAACTGGGGGAAAAAAAGGTGTAAAAATAGGCGGTTACGCCCCTTCCCCCTTCCCTTCCCCCTCCCCCCCAGTTTTTAAATATTCAAAAATCTGTATCTTATTCACCGTTCCCCAGTTTTTCGTCAAACAACTTTTTCCTGTCTTAGAAAAATCAGTTCTACAACATATCAAAAATTTGTTTTCCTCCGGAGTCTGACTTTAAGCGAGTTTGATATGAGGTGATTTTTTTAAACTAAAAAACTAAACTACTTGGGTGTAATTTTTCTTGCTTCGGACATTTTCAATGTGGGGTGACTGGGGGACGAAAATGAAAGGGAGAGCTTTTTTGGTGGAGGGGCATGTGCATCCCCCTATAGGCTATACGCCACTGAGTGGCTTAATGTCTTATACTGATATATTATAAGATGATGCAAATCAAGTACAGTACACTAACTTTCATTCTTGTCCTGAAAACTAGTTTTGTATGTCACATTTTTCCCATCCGTTGCTAGGTATGCATTCGCTGTGTTAAAATACCATCCATTTTGGACAGAAGCGGAGTGTTTGATGCTTTTTATGTAGCCAGGGGTTGTGTCGAGGTGTTCCATCTGACACATTTTCCCCTGCCAGAGCCGCGACGCCAGTCGCCGTAAGATAGGCCCTGAAAGTTTCAAAATAAAGTATGTGAAAAATTGGAAAAAATCAACATAAAGGTAAAGAAATAGTTATCAACTTCCAATATGAAAAATATCAAAATAGGCTCCAAGTGGGAGCGTTCCACTGCTTGACAATTTTTTTATGTTTTTATTTTAACTCTTAACCTTTGAAGCAACGCTTTTTAAAATATTGATAAATACATAACAATACGTTCCAAAAGAAGAGATTGCTTGTCAGCTGAAACCATACACAATTTAACAGTTACATAGGAAACGCAAAAATACTTGAAAATAAAAACATATAACGGATACCCAACTGTTGTTTACCCAGGCAGCGTCTGGGGGCTATAAGGTACTGCCACCCGCATTTCGATAACTCAGAATGGACTAGGGGCTATCAGGTACTGCCAACCATAACCTGAAAACAGGTAAACTATTGAATTATACAATTTAACAGTGAATACGTAATACATGGACTGGGTGGACTGATATTGGACGATAATTTGATATTTTGTTTACTTTACCCTCCTTGTATATTGGGATTACCTTTGAGATTTTCAGTTGATTTGGCACTATACCAGAGATAAAAGAACAATTTAAGATGAGTGAGTAAGTGGGACGGCTATTTGATCTGCAATGGCTTTAAAACTCGTGGGAATATACTGTATATACCATCGTAGCCAGAACTTTTACTACCATCTACTGTATATTATTAATGATATTGAATACTTCGTTTTCTGTTACAGATGTGGTAAAAATGAGTTTGATTGACAGTTACTCATATATTTTAATGGTGTAGACGAGACGATTTTTTGTTAAATTATTTCCAATGCTTACGAAATAGTCATTAAATGACGAGGCAATTTCTTCCTCCCCCAACATTTCTTTTTCTTTATGTTGCAAACGAGTTGGAATGACTTTCTTACCACAAGTTAAAAGTGTATTTTTACGAAAGGGACAACGAGTCAAGTTTAATTTATTGCCATTTGTTATAAAACTTAGAATTACATGTGTGACGCTTATATTACAAGAAAAAAAAGCATAACTTATAAATTATGAATTAAATTACAAAGGGAAGAAAACGGGAAAACGCATCATCCAGGAAATGTGGAGGAGTTTATTTAGCAGCCTGAAAGCCACATGATAAAAGTAAGGAACTGTGGAACGCCGTTACGCAACAATGGTCGATCCATATAAAAGGGATAGTACTTACGGCTAATCTGTCCAATAGGAATTACGATTTCGTAGTAGATTGAGCATCTATGCATCCTCTGTATCTGTTTTTCAATGTTGCCTTTGGTAACCCACGTCTTTTCTTCACTCAAGCTTGAGAACCCGGAGTCAGTTTCTGGTCTATTCCTTTCTGAGCCCACAGCCGCAATGTCGTCACCAGATTGGTCATCCTTATTGATGACGTTGTGGTTATGTGCATTATCTGAGCTATTTGGCTGTCGAGCGGTATTGTGTTTTTTATTTGGGTTCTTTCGGCACCTCCTCTGCATCTGCGCAGTCTCACCTCGGAAGATGCAAGCGTCTCTGAACGCTTGGTCATTTATTTCAATCGTTTCTACCATTTTCCTCACGACGCCACCACTTGTGTCTTCAACGTAACGTTCTTCATGACGTTTTACTACCTAATAGTATAATGGAATAATAACAATAATAATAATAATAATAATAATAATAATAATAATAATAATAATAATAATAATAATAATAATAATAATAATGGGATAATAATAATAATAATGGGATAATAATAATAATAATAATAATAATGATAATAATATTAAAAATAACAATAATAATTTAATATTAATGATAGTAATAGTAATAATAATAGTATAGGCCTAGTAATAGTAACATTAATAGTAATTATTATTATTATTATTATAGTAATATTAGTAATAATAATAATAGTAAATAATAATAATAATAATAATAATAGATTTTACTAATATTAATAATGGTGATGATGATAAGGAGGAGGATATTAATGGTGATTATTATGATGATGATGTTGATATTGTTGATGATGGTGATGATGATGATGATGATGACGATGATGATGGTGATGATGATGATGATGATGATGATGATGATGACGATGATGATGGTGGTGATGATGATGATGATATTACATAAAAGATAAGGCTTGTGTTGTATTTTTAATGGATACTATGGTATGACTTGTTAATGATGACTTGCAATTTCGAAAAAGTACAATAATTGATTTAATTACCATTTTCAAGTCGTTTTGTTCACTAATAAGTCTACGAATTTCATCCGTTGACATGTGATCTGCGTCGTTCTCATTTAGCTTAATAAGCGCATCGCCATCTCTACAAAAACGATTTGAAATATAAAGATGCAACTGATTTACTCCGATGTAACAATATAAGATAGCCTACTAGTCGATACTATATAGTTAAATACTGAAATTGTTAGGTTCACATAATAATTGATTCGGGCCACGATATGTGACCAATCTTAATGTATTTTGTTTGATAATAAATAAATTTTGTGACGTAACAAGCACGTACCATTGGCTAATAAATAACACGTTCTGATCAAGGAGGTATAAAAATAAAAAATAATGTTTATACCTCCTTGGTTCTAATTGGTCTGGTGTTAAGCTTGATTGACACTGTGGACCGGGTCCATTTTAAAATTAGCAATTCAATATTAATTAGTTTCTTAACAGACAAGACATGCTACGCACTTAAACCCGCCATCGGCCTAAGTGTATATGTAACTTACTTTATTCCAAATTCATTAGCAACGCCTTCTGCGTCAACACCTGAGAACACTTTCGTATCATTGTTGGTCATCACGTAGGCACCCATTTTACGCATCATATGGTCACAGGCTGGATCTGGGATATACAGCGCCACACGATCATTCTCATCTTCTTCTGAAATTTGTCGAAACAATGCTTGCAATAGACGAGACTTCAATCGATCCTAAGTGGTAGAAAAAAAAACATACTAAAATTAATTTCCCTGTACAAGTCTGTTATTTCAGGGGTGGCGCCAGGATTTGCCCGATGGGGGCGGGGGAGGTGGCGAGGTCCCCGACGTGGGGAGGGCCGATACCCCGACGAGGTCAGATTTCTCCGACGAAAGTAAAGTGGGCGTGGTCGAGCTTCGATTAAAAGGTTATGAAAGTGGTCCGAAAATTTTGACAATTTAGGGGTTTCAAAAGCTTATTTAATCCATTTTAGAGTCTACTAATATGTAGGAAATTATTTATGTGATTTTATGTATTTAAAATGGAGCTGACCTATTCTGGTTGAGTGAATCCCCCGACCTGTGGAACCACTCTTCTCATTGTTTAGATTACTGGTTACATATTAAATATTTTAAACGTCACCTTCGATTATTTCCGCTATATTACAATAGGTACAGGATGGGCTACAATAGCCGAACATCCCGGATCTAAATAATGCAAATTCGCCGACTGCCGGGTCACAGCACGCTGTGGTTTCAGGTAAATACTATTAACCAAGAGACCCCTTAGGCCGGGCCTCTGGTCCGTGTTCCGAAGTAAAATTTTAGTCAGACGATCTCAGGTAGCGTCTGACGAGGCCCCTAAACCCACTGGCACACCGCCACTGGAAAAACTTTGTTGGGACCATGAGCATAACGTGCACACATTCATATCATAATATGGCTTATGGTAAAAGAATTAATAAATAGAAGGCTATTTGACATTAATAAACGGAATTACTATCATTTGTGTATATACAGTAGGCCTATATTTAATGTAAACTTTCCGTCATGCGGCATGGTTCAAAGGGACACTTTGGGGAAGTATCCGTTGAAAATAAATTATCAATGTAAAAATGACGTACACAAATCAATAATCAGATATACTCAGGTGAAATGTACATAAATACACACACCCAACCACACACACACACACACACACACATATATAATTGTTAACCAGAGCATAATTGTTATTTTAATATTTTGCCTTTGGACATTGACAAAAATCTAAGATTAGACCTATATTAACGAAAAATAATATTGCTTTGGTACCGTACACTTTCAATCAATACATGCCGGCGCGGATCCAGAACTTCGCATAGTTCGCCATGACGAAGATCAGGGTGAGAGATAAAATTATATTTTAAGAAATGTAAAGTGATTGCAGTGTCTGGTGGAAAATTCCAACTCTTTCTATCAGAAATGCAGCTACCTAACCAATGGCAAAACTACAGACAAAAATGTAATATTTTTTTTGCATTTTCTGACTGCAAAACTGTTGAGTTTTGCTGTTTATTTTATTTTGATTATGAGTCACGATGCATGATTAATAAAAAAAAATCAGTCACAGGGAGGATAAATGTGCGTTGATCTTATAACTTTATTGGAAGGCATATATAATTTTATTATATTTTGTTATTTTAAAATCACAAAAGACAATTGTGTATATATTTTTTTAATTCCCTGGTGGAAGTAAAATCACACCAATTAAGCTTGGTGTTGGTCAGAGTACAGTCGTTGAAGAATTGCATTATTCTGCTTCTTTTAAGAATAAGTTGTGTTATGACCAAGTTATTATAATATGAATTTTAAACTGTAATATTAAGACCAATCAACACATAAACATAAAACATGTACATATAAAAATTATTGTGTTAAACTTTCCTCGTCGGTGCGTGTGTAGTAATTGACTTTGATTTGTATAAAAGCTAAGCCCACATAGTCGCTGAATTTCAATTTAAGAAAAAATGCATCCTAGTTTCTTAATCATTATAAATTTTACACTAAAGAGAAGAATAATATCATTAACCGTTCACCCCAGAGTTCACAGACTTGTGGTTCCTGAGTTATGTCAAGAGGGAGTAGGTTGAGTCTAAACGACAAGTGGTGTTTAAAGCTGGCCAACCGGCCCTGATTATATACACAGCCAAGGCCAACTTTGAAATTGTAAAATTCTGGAAGTACGTCAGTCCATGTTCAGTCAGTATACTTTTGTCAATTCTTTCAGTTGTAGCACAAATAAAATAATTTCAATCAACACATCGGTGATATTTATACGAAAGTATTACTAAAATAATCTACTTACCACCATTATATTAGTATATACACAGACAAAACCAACTTCAGTAAGTATACTTTTGTCTATTCGTTCAGTTTACTTTGTAGCACAAACACCGATTCTCAATTACGGGATATCAACAGATCGGTGATATTTATAGGACTTTTAGATGAACATTGCGGACTTGCATAGTGATTGACCAATCAGATTTCAAAGATCATAGCTGAAAATGTGACAATTGTTTGAGGCACGCGTGTAATTAAACAAAATTATCTCTGACAGGACTTTTAGTTGTATAGGTAAATATCCTCGACCTCTTTACAGTATACCCAGTAAACATCCGGGATACCTGCTTCCTACATCCGTGCTGATGTTCTGAACTCGTCGCCTTCTGACGTGTTTTGTTGGATATCGATAGGCCTTTGTCTGTTGACATCTTAAAAGAAGAAACCCCTAGTAAAAGGTAATGATAATAAACTTCAAAAAACGTTAATAACAACAACAAATCATATTAACAATAAATAATAATAACAACAATTATAAAATAATTACAATAATAACTATAACGACAATTATAAAAATAATGATAATTGTAAATAAATTCTCAACTGATTTCAAGGAGACCATTTCAGGGGTGGTTCCAACGGGGGGGGGGGGGTCTATTTGTAATTAAGTCTATTTGTAATCCCGGTGTCTATTGTAATCAAGCAACCCTGGTTTTTTTTTATCTATTGAGTATAAAAATATTTTGAAATGATCATCAGACCATACCATAAAAACGTATAGAAGAAATGGGGAAATAACACAAAGGATGTCTTTTTATAGACACCTTATATCGATCTACAAATCGACGGCCATTTTTTTTCTTATATAGCCTATTTTTTAGGATAATATATTAGACTATCAAAATCAAATTTAAGAGTTTATTTGTGTTTGACATTTGTCTGTGAAATTAACAAGGATCTTTTAGGGGTCCCAACTCTTCCGCAAGTTGTGGGAATCTCCCTGCTGTATTAAATCGGGAAGAAGCGGGGGAAGAAGAAAACAAGAATAATCTCTTGGTGCGATCAATGCCGTAGACAAAAATTTCAAACAGTTTGGGACAACATCAAGGGGTGGACCCACTTTACGCCTAAATTCAAATTTTGTGGACCCATTTTCTTAAAAGTTGACGGAATTTACGCAAAAATATGGAAAATCTGAACCCATTTTCCTAAAAATGTACCCATTTTAGGCTAAATATGAAAAAAGTGGAAAATTGTGTGGGACTGTCCCAAATGTCCCAGTAGCTGGCTACACGCGCGGCATTGTGTGCGATGCCATTAGGGGAATCACTGTGCACAGCAAAACAAAAATAGACGTGTTGAGAAAAGCTCATTTTAACAGATCTCCCGGAAGTGGCTTCTTCCAACTTGGGACCCAATGTCTTTGCTTTAACAACACCATAAAAAGGTGCAACGAAAATGTTCCGAAAGCGGTGCTCCTGCAGACAACTTCAATTAACAAAGGGCGGGAGCGGGAACGAGAATAGTGGTTGGTGGCGTAGTTTATTGTTGTGCAACTCCTCTTGAGAGTTGCTGTGTAGAGTAGAAGTAGGGCCTATTTCTATACGGCATTAATTGACTTTATAGTATATTGTTTTATATGTCTGTTAGCTATTGTCATATTAGTAACCGGTTTTTTTTTTTATTGAAGAATAAATGTATGTATTGTAATGTACATCGCCATACAGTGTTGTGAGGTAAGTCTAGGTAGGCTAGGCCTATATAGGCCACCGTTCACTGAAGCCTATCTTCACCCCAGCCATTGCAAAATTGCGGGCCAGTCAATCAAAGCCAATTCCTCTTTTCGATCCTTCTATGGCCGTGCTGTCAAATAATCGATCGCAGATATGTTGTCACTATCGCTAAATTAATAATAGTCCAATAATAAGTAGGTTTTTGTAAGATAGATGAAATGCATTTAAAAAAGGCAGTTTTGTTGAATATTGTAAATATATAATAATATTATTTTCACAGACCCAAACAGCAATAGAATCTAGGCATTAGCCTATGTGTGTACCTGCTTTTATTGTTACTATGTAATCTGGACATTGGTAAAACATGGGAAACTTTTCAAGTCGGCAGACCGAGCAAACGACTGATGAGGATGACTTGGAAGATAACCCTCTTTACGATGAACCAATAAACTTTAATAACACGTGTTTGCGGCTAGACAGTCAAGGTAATTTTTTGGCAGTGGCTATTGCTACACCAGGTTAAATAAAATCCAAATCGTGATTTGATGTTATTATGTGTATGGAAAACAATATCCAATCACAATCAGGAATTCGTTTAAGACTGGTGCCATTTTCTTTGCTACTTCTCACAGCAAAAGAATGCTATTTTCTGTTGAGAAAGGATTTGGTTCATCACACGACAGTATCCAACAAATAAAGCAGCATTTAATGCCCTGTCTTTGTTGTATCCATGTTCAATTCACCTTTCCTTTAAGCCCCGCCCATTGGATATTGTTGCAAAGTTCCCACAATGTGCATTATGTGTAAGATTAGCATGTAAAATATTCTAGAAATATTGTTATAATATGTGACTGGCTCTGGCAAAACCCAATGTTTGTTGCATTTCTAATTTGTAAAGCACCCAAAACATTTGAGAATCTTGAACATTTTCATGTTTTTGTTTTTTATAGAAGATTGATTAACATTTCTCTAAAGTATCAAGTACTAAATCTAACTGAAAAGTATATTAAAATTATTATTAGAATGAAAATCTTTATCATGAACTATTGATTTTAGAATCATTGGAAACTGTTTTCTCAAAACTTGCATGCCTGATATTATAAAATGAATTGAATATTTATAACTTTGCTAAAATCAACCAATTTCCATCAAATAAACACTGCTTTAAGGAAGAATTCATGCAGAACTTTAAAACACCAAACACTCATTTTTTATTTTTTCCTACAAATGGCTGGTTTTGCCAGAGGCGTTTGCATATAAATCAGACAATACAGGGGTCTGACTCTGTTATTTACCATGAATCTGTGCCTGTGATAATGTAGTACAGCTTATCTTTCACTGTGGCATTGCACAAATCTTCACAGTCTTATACTGGCCATTTTTTACATATAGGGCGCTATATACAATTTTTTTTTTTAACACATCAGACGCCGGCAAAGTTGGCAGGTATACCGTCTTCAAATTTGACGTTTATTTTACTCTTTTAATGACGACAGGATTTCAGTAGGAGTGATATCTTGGGAAACGCTGTGCAACATTTAACACTTGTTATGCCCACACTTTTAAATTCTATGTGATAAAAAAATGTGATATGCCCATATTTGGTTGTAATATGACATCACCATACCCATATATGGGCAAATTTGATAAGTGTGAACTGTTAATATTATTATTATATTATTATTATTATTTTTATTATTATTATTATTAAATTTATATTATTATTATTATAATATTATTAATAATATTGTTAATATTATTATTATTATTATAATATTATTATTATTATTATTATTATTATTATTAATGTTATTATTATTATTGTTATATAAGAAATGCATTATTATTATTATTATTATTATTATTATTATTATTATTATTATTAATATTTTTATTTCTTGTTGCTGGCAGGTAACAGGTTAGACTGTTTTAACTTTTCTGATTATAATACTTGCACTTTCCTAACAAGTATTAGGCCTACTGTTGGAGCCACTTAAAGTTAGGGACTAAAAATAGCAAAAAAAGGAAACGGAATTAAATGTTTTGTATTTGTATATAGATTGTTGTTTGCATTTCTTGTTCTATTTGGTACTATCACAAAATTTTACAGTTGAGACTTTATACCAGGATTACCCATAAAACAAAACTTGAATGGGATCCTAGTCCACATTTCAAGCGCTCTGAGCATCTTACATTAGATGGATTTGTGCACTATATAAAACTATACTATTATTATTATTATAAAGTAAAGTACCAATCTCCACTGCAGTGTACATTGTACAGTGTACAATGTAAAGTGACACTGCATTTTTATAAGTACACATAATTGATAGATTAAACGAGAACTTACCTGTTTGAAGTTTCCTCTGTCGGCTCCTTACACAGCATCTCCGTGTCGGAGAAATTTTCCTCATGTATTTGATTTTTTATGAGCAATTCAATTTGGCTTTCTAGTTTAGACATTCTAGTCAAAATCTCTTCATTTTTAGAGGACGACTTCGCCCGTTTTGGCTTTAATTTTTGCCTAGGGGTGTCCCCTTTTTGGTTAGCCTGCGTCGATGTTCCAGGGGTGTCCCCTTCGTCTCCCACACGCCGTTTAGCGCTGAGCTGGCCAGTCGGCACGGTGTTAGCAGGCAGCTGGTCAGGCATCGTTGAAATTTCTCCCAAGTTAAGACCAAAATCAAGCTCATTGTGACACAAATCCATTTTCGAATAACCCAGTAGATGATAAGCAACCCTTTGTATTTCGTATCAGAAACAAAATGAGGGTTTTTAGGCGTTTTTGCTATTGATAATTTTCAGCACATCCAAGTCTTCCCGCGTAGCGATGCTCACTGGTTTGCTCGTGCGCACGCTTGTATCTCATAGAATCTCTTCCACGAATTACGGAATGAAATTAAATTTATACAATAAATGTAAATAGACAGTAGATAACATGGGAAGGAAACATTCACTCAATGTCCTCAGATCCTGTTAATGTACAATACCAAGATGGATCTATCCCTCTTTTATACTCAAAGCTAGTTTTTATTGATTTTTTTTTGTTTGTTATTTTTGATTGAAAGTTGTTCCAGTCTTCAATAATGTATACTGTAGCATCACAAAATGTTTGTTCAGTTTGGCCTTTGGTATTGTAGGGTATAACGTCATTAATTTTTAAAGTGAGCATAGACACAGAAAGTACACTAAAGATGTTTAAAAAAGGAGCTTGAAACTAGGCAGTTAAAATCAACAGACATAATTGTTCAGACCTTTTTAAATCAATGAACAGAAATATTTATAAAGGAACACGAAAGATAATCATCAAATTGAAAGATTGAATATGCCAATTTTTTTTAGCTTTTGACATTTGAAATATTGTTCTAACTATAATTATACTAAAATTAATGCTCACATTGTCTTTCCACATTAGTTTGTTTTTATTATTTTTTGGAGTGCGTTTGTCTGCTGTGAATTGCCAGTAAATAAGTTCAAATAAATTTATTCAAAACTGTAATAGTGTAGGTTAATTGGCCATTTATTGCTCACTCTATCTTAGTAACTTTAAAAGATGTTTATTTTTTCTATCTCTTCCTTGTCTAGGTGATCATCATGAAAAGAAAGAGGAAGTTCCGGAACATGTACTCACCGGCGTTATCACCGGAAGAGTTTACTCAAGCAGTTCCAATGACAGTTCAGATGATTCCGATGATACAGCATCATCTGAAAAAGAAAACAGAAGCAGTCAACAGCTGCGCGGGAAGAGGATCCCAGCCGCAGGGAATTTCCCCACTGTGAATAAAGACTTGGATAAACATGTTGGCGAATATGATAACGGATTATTAGAGAAAGAGGAAGGTGTGGCGTGGGAGGTTGACGTTTCTGATTTTACTAAAGATACAAGGAAGATTGTTCCAGCAAAGATACCGAAAGGTTAATTTATACATGTTTTAATATGTTTGAATAATGATAATTATTTTTACAATTACAACCGCTATTTGTGATATCTTTATTTTGCAAACTATAAGTACTTTGAAAGAATGGACAGAAATTTAATAAGTATGTAAATTAAGTCTATTTGATAAAGTGAGTGGCAGAAGTTGTAAGTTTGACAAATTTGACATGGGACTTTTCTTTGAAAACCCTTTCCCATATGGGGTCCAAGGAATGCACCAAGGTTTTGATTCTTGAATGTGAGAACATTCGTGAGTCTCACAGCCAATGTGTTAAACTTGGCAGGTTTGTTGGGGTCAGGGTATGAGTGATGTTTTTTCCCCTACCTGACTTGTTATCGTACTGAATACTTTTGCAAGTGATTGTGGTAAGAATTGAACCCACGACCTTCAGAAACTAGCCTGGTGTCATAACCACTAGACCACCAATCCTGTGCTTAGTAACCAGTGTTGAATCTGATCCCCAAGTAGCAGGGGGTACTGCAATAATATATACATGTAGGCCTACTACTGTATCATTATGCTAACAAAATCACATATTTTGTACAAAGGTTTGATTTGATATATAATGTAATTAAATTAAATCATTAACATGCATCGTTTGCCAATTATTCCAAAATTCTCACAAAAGTAAAAATCAATCCAATTCCTGTGTAGGTCGCAAACGAGAAGAACAGTGGAAAAAAGTGCGAGATAAATTTTCCGAGCCTTATATGCCGCCCTCAGTGACTGCAACAGCCGAGGATATCTCCCAACGTAAAGTTCTTGATCAGAAGCGATGGTAAGTTTTACATTTTCCTATGGCACAATGGTGTAGTGCTTTGCTTCTAATCAGAAGGTCAAGAGTTCAAATCTCAAACTGGTAACTTGGTGTGACTTTGGCTATTGCTGATAGAATGCACCCCCCAATTTCTAGACTCCTCTAATTTTGAGACCCCTTTAATTCAAGACTACTTTTCAAAGAACCAAATAACAATCTTCAGTATCAACCCTAAGCCACAGGGGTAGATCCAGAGATGTCCAAAAGGGGGGCCCCCAAAAGTTTGGCCGATCGAGACAACACTGCCTTAGGGGGTCCGGGGAAATTCCCCGCAAAATTTTTGTGTTGTAGACGCCCGAAAATAACATTTGAGGGGTTCTGGGCTAGCATTTTTTTGTTTTTCTTTCTTTTTTTCTTTTTTTTTCCTTCTTTTTATCTCCCAAAGGGGGCCCTCTAAATCTTCCCCTGAGCTACGCCTCCATATGGGGACCAAACACCAAGACCACCCCAAGTTTGAAGTTCCCAAAGGTGGTCTCAAATTGGAACTAGTCATTCCTCACAAAAATCAATTTTTTCGTTATTAATACAGGGTTAAACAGTAAAATGAGAACTACTTTATAACTAGGTAAAAGAATCATTTAAATCTGACATTTCATTATGAAGTTACAAGTGTTTAAACATACAGCTGTCTAAGGAACAATATTTGAGAAATCAACCTTCAAAATTTATGATTTCAGCCAGAAACCATCACCAAATCGTTAGAAATTGCTGTTTGAAAATGGGGAAAATAACAACATAGCATGTAATATAGATATATAAATGTTAGTTTAGTGTAATAAAATAGATTTCAAAAATGTTGTTTCAAAAATATTCCAGCATGTATGTATGTCTGAAACAGGATTTGCGACGAGTGACTGGTTTGGCTTGTCTTTGCCAAATATGTATATTTCCTTTTCCCTTGGTATCTGATCTGGTAGTCCATTATTGTGTGATGAAATTTGTGCAGTACTGTATTAATTGAATAATTCACAAGGAATGAAGATGGTTGCACAGTGTAGCTTACGAACACAAAGATGACGGAATAGAAATAGTGTGAGGGATGTTTTGTGTGATTAATGCTAAAATAAATACACAAATTTTAATATTTGTTTTACGTACATTTATTTTAATAGGTTTATATTTTATTTATTTGTTTATATAGTTAAATAAAGGCTGATTGACTAACTGGTGGTTGATTAGATTAATGGATTGATTGACTAATTGACAGATTTATATTTTTCTTTTTATTCAGTTTTCTTACTTGTCACTATCATATTAAATATTTTTTGTTGTAGGTTCTGTATCAGTCGTCCGCAGTACAGCAAGTCCTGTGGAATGTCTTCGCTAGTTTCCTGTTGGAATTATATGTTCAGTACACTTGGGTTTGGAAGGTACAGGTTTAGTTTCACTGTTATTCAAACTTCAAAACAATTCCACTCTGTCTCCCTCTTTGAAAAAAAAAATATGCTCAGCAACAACCAGGGGCAAATGTAGTAGTTTAAGATACTCTGTCTGTATCTCTGTCACTTTTATCACTCTTTAGATAGTTCTAATTTGTTGTTAATGACGTGAGTTTAATTCTGTGATTGCTCAACAGCCTTCGGCCGATAACACAAGAGGAAGCATTGACTGTGTTTGGATTTAAACCCCCATTCAACGATATTCGATTTGGACCCTTCACTGGTAATGCAACTCTTATGAGGTAAAACATCACTAAGTTAGTACATCAACAATATTTACAATTATAACACACAAAATACAGAAAGAATATTTATATATAGTAATACATTAGAACTCCTGTAAGGAGACACCTTTGGGACCAAAAACAATTGTCCTTATTTAGTGGTGTACTCTGAATAGGGATTGTCCGTAGTGTTAAAAGGTACGCTTTCCCTCATTTTGTGGCTGAAAAAGTGTCCCCTTAAATGGTGTCCCAAAGGAGGGGTTCTACTGTATTTGTATTTGCATTTAAATAATGACTTTAGCTGTAAAAGTGTGTTGCAATTCAGAACACGGCAGAATATTGTTGACTTTTCAGGTGGTTCAGACAACTGAATGATCATTTTGGTGTACGAGGGCGCTGTCACTACTTGTACAAGCCTCACGGTAAAGGTCGTACAATGGGTAGGACGTCTGACGAAGCACTGAGAATGCTAAAGAATGGTTTGAGGGATACAAATACAACGTTTATCTATCATTGCCAGAACCATTACTTTTGTCCAATAGGATTTGAGGATGTACCTAAGAAGGCTATAGATGCATTTAGGTAAACAGTTCTTTTTTTTTTTATTAAGGAAAAAAATTTGTGTTGCCGAAGCCCAACTAAAATTTTAAAAAACTTGGAGTCGGCTTTAGTTTTTTTCAATTTACAATTTTTTCCCAGGAGGCGCCCCAAATACTAGCGTGATAATGCCAGTGTTCAAGATTTAGATAAATACTTTTGTATTTTAACTACGGATTTTTGCACAGTGGTTATATATTTTACTAGCCAGGGTATAATTCGTAATTCAGCTTCTGGTGTTTGTTTTGTTTGTTTTTCTAAATAAAAAACCAATGATTCAAAAAACAAATGCATAAGCTCAATAAACATTACATGTTTTTAAATAATATCCTCTCTTAAGAGAAAGGTTTAGAGACACAGAATACCAAGCAAATAAGAGAGTGAAATTAAAAGTATGGATTTGATTAGTTCATGTAAGATATAAATTGGAATTTTGAGAATGAGCAAAAAATCCAGTTTTTGACAATAACTTTAACCCAGGGCTTTGGGATTTAAAGATAAGCATATTAACCACTCCAATATGATACATTAAAACAATAATACTCATTATACAATAATAATAATGAACATAAAATTATAATGCTTACCAAGTTCATTTGTGCTTACCATCTCTGATCATGTTACTATTTTCTATAGAGGAGATTTGACGAATGAAGATGTCGAAACCTGGATTTTGGTTGGGGATCCAAGCCGCAAGCACCCAGGTTTACACTGTTTCAGGTAGGCCAACTCTATACTATGCTCAGAAAAACTCAGCACACCATTGTACTGAGTTGTGTATGGATGTAATCTGTGGCTACTGAGACACTTACTGTTCACATAATTTCTCGCCAACGGGGGCTGAATTGGTCAGTGCATCGGGATAACCCCTATTCTCTGAAAACAAGCACTGAGGTCTTTAAAGTGCACATGAGCCAGATCTGTACACTGGACCTCCAATTTTAAGTCCTTATCAAAGAAGATTTTGTTCCACTAAAAGCTTTTGAACCAGCACTGCTGTTAAGGGTGTGATTAGCAGTGCTTCTATCTTACCGTTCAGCTGCTCGTCTTGCCACTAATTTATTTATAGATTTTTATTACTGTGTAACAATAGAATTTATCCTATCAAAACTCGTTGCTTGTTTCATTACAGATGGGAAGACATCTCTGCTGATTTGAACTGTCAGTCTCCAGACTTCATCAACATCAGGAAATTACATCTTGGCAGACAGGTGCGTAAGACAAAGAAGGTAGGAGGCAACCTGCATTGCATCATGGCTTTCCAGAGGAGCTTCTTCCAAGGAGGGGCTGGTACTGAAGGAGCTGGAGGAGAAAAACATATTACTAAGATCATTGAGAATGATGGAGGAGGTGATAGGAGAATTGGGAATGGCAAGAAGCTGCCCATTGAAGATGTGGAACACATTGAAGAATCTGAAGAAAGCAGATCGAGGGATGTTTCTGACGATTCTGGAGAAGTTGATTTACCACATAAATTGAGTGATGTACCATGTGAATTAAGTGATGTACCATGTAAGTGAGCAATGTACCATGTGCATTAGTGATGTACCATGTACTGTAAGTAAGCGATGTACCGGGTGCATGAGTGATGTACTATGTAAGTGAGTGATGTACTGTATGCATGAGTGAAGTACCATGTGAATGAACGATTTAACCTCTTAATTATGTACAGTGTAAATTCAGCAGCGTACCAGGCAAATTAAAAGGTGTATCATGTGAGTAATGGACCATGCAAATTGAGTGATGTACCATGTGAATTGAGTGATGTACCATGTGAATTGAGTGATGTACCATGTGAATTGAGTGATGTACCATGTGAATTGAGTGATGTACCATGTGAATTGTGTGATGTACCATCCAAATTGAGTGATGTACCATGCAGAGTGAGCGAAGTACCATGCAAATTAAGTGGTATACCATGCAAATGGTGTGATGTGCCATGCAAATGAGTGATGTACCAACCATGTGAATTGAGCGATGTACAGTATTATTTAAAGTGAGTCATGTGCCATGCAAATGAGTGATGTGCCATGCAAATTAAGTGATGTACAACTATGCAGTGATTTACCATGTGAGTTGAATGATGAACCAACCATGTGAATTGAGTGATGTACCATCCCAAATGGGTGATAAATGATTCAAAGAAATTTAGAGAAATGGTGGTGGATTCATATAAAAAGTATGCGAAAGAATGCTTAGTGAATTTGTACTGCTGCTGAGGAATATTATTATTCACCTGAAATGTTACTAATTTACTTATTGTATTATGGGAAGGAAAGCATAAGAAACGTGTGTCCTTTACATACTCCATTGAACATACTCCATTAGTTACCTATGCAATATCAATAGTTTGAACTTGCCTTCAGTATTTTAGTGTTACTCCAATAGTTATAGAAAAGAGTATAGAACTGCAATTCTATACTTTTTGAGTTTAGTAATGCCAGTTGTCCAAATATACAGTAGTTGGTTATAGATTTTGTATTTTTCATATTTTTAAGGTAAAAAATGCTGAATTTAAAAGTCTGCTGCTAACAATACTTTAGTATCTTCTGCACTTAGAATCTTAGACCAGTGGCGGAGTTTTTCTGCTGGGGTGGCAATCAAGGTCCTAATGCTCAAAACAAACAGAACCTCAGATAGAGAAAAAGGTTGTTTCTTACTTATTGGGGATGGGGATGTGGCACTGAAAGCTTTATAGTTTTAGCCATTTTAATTTCTTAATAGTTTGTGGAGGTGGGTTGAGGGTTTGGAGATGACGCACACCTTTTTTTCCACTTCCTGCATCTGCCACTGTTGACAATGCTGTACCGCATTATCAGACACAATATAATCAAACATTGTCTGTCAAAGTTTATGATTTCGGGCATTTCTCATACAGCAACCATCACCAAGTCCTTAAAAAATGGGGAAAATAACAGCAAAGCATCATGTATAGCTATATAAAGGTTAGTTTAGTGCAATAAAATAGATTTTAAAAGTGTTGATGTTCCAGCAGGTTTTGGCCATTGTCTCTGAAACACGACGAGTTACTGGTTTGGCTTTTCTTTGCCACATTTATTGCTTATTAAGAGATAAAAACTTGCATATATAATATAGGCACACCTTTTCAAATGATGTACAGTGCATACATAGAGTTGTGCTTGTGGTACTTGTGATAATGTTCAAATCCAGACATAGACCGTAGATAAGGTTTATGGTTTAGGGGAAAACTACATAGACAAACGGAAATATGGTATTCTCTCTCAAAAAATGATAACCCCTTTTGAAAATGAAAAGAAATATCGGCCCTTCTACCCTGTTCAAAAAACCTTGCAATGATGCAAACATTCAATAATACAGTATTAGATTTTGGAGAAAAAAATGTTGGTATATGTAACTTGTCATTATTATAGGTCTATGAGTGTACTAATTTGTTTACTCTGCTTGATGATGTTGGTTACATATTAATGATAACTTAATGGTCTAGGTCCGTTGCCACCTGGCCCTTGCCACCTGCCCATTTACCACCCGGCCATACAT